CAGGTCGAATAGAACTTGTTGGTAGATGAACACAGCTCTCTGGTTCATTAGCCCAGAGCCTCTGTGATTGGGTTTCACACTGGCCCTGTTGTCCTCTCTGTTGTCTTCTACCTGGCCCAAGGCATTGATTCTTCTCTCCCAAGTAATTCATACTGGCTGAAACAAGGTATTTTGTTGGCATCCCTGAAAGTTCACATTTGAGGTGAGCTTCATGATTGGTCATCTGGAGACACTAATTCCATGTCCCTTTGAATGGTTTGGCTCTCTCCTGTGTCGACCTCATCCTCAAGAAGGTTTCAAGATGACTGTCTCAGTTCCAGACCTCAGCTTTTGCATAACAATGTGCAGAGGGACAAGAAAGTCTTCCTGAGGCGCTCTTGGAAGAATAAGCAAGAGCCATTCCAGAAACCCCAGTCAGTTGTTCCTTATGTCTCATTGGCCTAAGCTGGGTCATGTGTTCTTTCCTGAACCCATCAGACAAGAGGGGTGGGATTACCTTTATACCAGCCAAGCTTGAGCCCTGGAGGTAAGATTGAGTTATAGTTCCTGAGGCTCATGGACTTTGCATGTTCCTGTGTGTGTCTGCGTGGATGTGTTATATGTGTGTACACATGTGTGCGTACCTAAACAAAATCTGGGCAATCTACTACAATTTGGTTTGTATTTGAGAATATTGTCTCTCTCCAGGCCTGGTGTTGTGGTAGATAACCCAGGGCTCCTTTCTACCAATGTTCATATCTCATGACTGGGGCACTTGATACTGCTCCCAAGTCCACGTATTGTTTTCTTCCATCTCCACGTAGTGACTAGAAGCAGATGGACAAGCTGAGTTCTTACAACAGCTTGGGCTTAGGTGCTGGACCTGGGTTTGACACACTTCCAAACAAATACCATTTCTGAGTCCATTGAAGAAATCTGTATGGAGAGAATATAATTATCTTAGTGGGTTGTCAGGAGATTAAATGCAAAGTATGTGACATAGCTCTTGGTATATAGTAAGTGATTAATAAATAGTAATGATCAGAATTATGTTTATACCTTTATTCCCGAAGGTAGCCATTTAAACACTAAACCTGGGTGTATAGCAATACATTAAGTATTTGGGGATTGATACTTTTTTCTTCACTTAACCAATATCTAAAAGGTAGCAAAGTATCCTGGCTTAGAGTTTAAGGAAGTGGGGATTGGAACCTGCCATCTGTTCTTAATGATGACAAGCCGTGCTGACTTAGCCAATTGGTTTTTCTGGCTCTTTTTCTTTAAACATAAATATGTTGTTTTAACTTTGCCACTGAACTGGGGAGATGAAGTAAATGCATTATCAACAATCGACTAAAAAAGGAATTAAGTAAAAGAATCAAGTTATTTATCTCTCTGTTTACTTTTCTCCCACAAAGGCCAATTCTAGGAGCTGACTATAGTTCCTCTCAACTCCCTTGTATCTAAAAGCATCTATGAAATGGAAGACAAAGATGTGGGGTTAAGAAGTTCTTGATATTAGTGATAGCTTACATTGGTCTAGTGCTTTGCAGTTTGTAAAATACGTCACAGGGTTTTAAGGTTTGTGAGAGTATAAATTGTGCTTTGCTTACTATTTATCTCTAATCCTTATCCCAATGCTTGGTGCTCACAGGGCATTGTAGGTGGTGGGCACCAGTATAAAGACACAAGTATAAATGTGTGTGGTGAACACATTGTTATTTCGATCATGTCAGTACATTTCTGAGAATACATAGCCTCATTTCGAGACAGCAGCAAAAGTCTATACTTCAGGCACTTTCCTGAGGCGTGGATCATAAAAACCCTGCTCACGTATTGATGTCCTTATGTTTTTCACACCTACGAACACTATGATTAATAAAACACAACTTAGGCAACAGCTCTAAAGAGTTTATATTAGCTGCTTGATTTCTTTTCTCTAGTCAGTTGCTATCAAAACTTCTTTCTTGTGAGAGAATCAACAGAATTTTGACACAAAAAACAAGTCCCTGTACTTGAAATCTTTGATAACCACGTCTCCATGTAGACCTTAAAGGATTTAGGCGGAGGTGGGCTGATCCCACCGTGTCTGAGGACTCTCCAATGCCAGGACGGCACTGTCTTGCCTGAGGTGCACTGTGAGCTCCCAGACCCCAGGTTTTCTGTGAGAGAAAACAGGGCTATATTCCTTCCTTCCTTCCTTCCTTCCTTCCTTCCTTCCTTCCTTCCTTCCTTCCTTCCTTCCTTCCTTCCTTCCTTCCTTCCTTCCGGGACCCCTGTGTGCCTGGCACTACATCAGGCAGCAGGGTGGGGTGGTGAACAGTGGCCTCCACCCTCAGAAACCTCAGGAGGAAGCAAGTGGGGGACCAGGGGCAGTTCACTACAAGTCCGGGGGGTGGAAGGTGGGCAGGACCGGAGTTCTCCAAGCCCCTCCCCTGCATGAAGTATGTGGGGCGAGCAGCTGGACTTCTGACCCTCACACACCTGACCCTGAATGAGCACAACTAACCCTCGGCATTGAGCCTGGGTGACCTTTTATTTAGTGCAAGAGCTGGGTTTAGCGCACAGAAACGCTAATAGAAACTTAACTGGCTGAAGCTCACTGACTTCCAGGCAGGAGTGGAGCAGCCGAATGGGAGGCTGGAGGCTGGTCTCCTTGGTGCGCAGCACAGACACGGAGAGTCTCAGGATGACGAGGCTGGCTGGCAGCTGGCAGACGCAGGGGCAGCTTGTACGCTCAAGGTTGGGAAAGACTGACTTTTCTGAGATGACGACTAGATAATTCTAAGGGGAAATGGGCTTTTTGTTCTTCCTAGTGACTTCTGGAGACTGGCACAAGTTTTGCACTTCTCAAGGTTAAGGTAATTTCCCTCGACCAGTGCTGCTCAGACTTGAATGAGCATGTACCAACTGGAGGACCTTGCTGAAAGGTGGGTTAGGTCTGGAGAAGTGCCCAAGGTTCTGTTTCCAACCAGCTCCAACCTGGCGATGCTGAGGCCGCTGCTCTGTGGTATTGCTGGTCTGCGGGAGGTGCTCTGAGGCACAGGGACCTAGAACCTACCCGATGGCCTGGAAACATGGGAACTGGCCTCACCTGCTGTGTGGAAGGCATCGATTCCTGCTTCAGCCACACTTACACACGGCGGCCACCCCATTGTCTGCAGAGGCATTTCCTTCTCTCAAGGGTCCTAGGTACTCTGAGGGGATGTGGCTGGAGAGTATGTATTGGTTGCTGTGTTTAATCATTAAGAAAAATCTTTGTTGTGCTTTGCAATCCATCTGCAGGGCAAAATGCCAGCAGTACCTGTCACGCAGGATCAAGGTCTGCTCAACCCCACATCCTTACAGGGCATCGCCTTGACCCACGTCTCCTGTGTGTCTCACTTGTAGTGAGGGTGGTTCACGTAATCAGTCCTGCAGAAAGCTCAGCAACCTGATTATAAAATGATGAGCTTGTGTTACGTCCAGTGATCTGATCCTGCAGCAGCCTCGTTAAAATGATGGTTACAGAATAAATCGGTAAAGGGAACAAAACTCATTGATTATATTTGGCTTTAGCTGTCATCAGACAGAGTTGGTCATCTGGGCCTCCTGGCTTAAAAACAATGGCAGAAATCTAAAAGCAACTTTTATTTGGACGTTTTGTCCCTTTTGAGCTAACATCCAATGGGTTCCCCCAGAAGGAAAGGAAAGGTTCAAGGTCCATCTGAAATCAAACTCAAAGTGGATTCAGGAAGTTGGAGGCTTCACATCACAGTACGGTTTAAAAGCCCAGTCTCCATTCAGTGCAGTGCGTCCCAGGCCAGCAAGCGGCCTCCGCCCATTTCCCAAGCCGAGGGCACCACTTTCTATCGAAAAGATGATCATGTACCAACCGATCTTCCCCAATTACTTTCAGTGGATTTGGAAGGGTGGCTCGCTTAACACTTCTTCATTTGTTGTTATCGGTCACATTCCATCCCTGAAACATTCCGTGGGTCTGTCAGCGACTTTGATTGAAGCAGAAACTTATCTTATCAAATATCCTGAGGAGGGCTTGGAGAGGTCTTTGCAGTTAAAAGGAGTTTGTTGTAATGGTATTTATTCTAATCAGATTTGGCTGACACATCTCTCACATGTAGAATTTTAGAAGGAAAAATAATCTAACCAACTTAGACATCATCTAGTCCAACCAACTTATCATACTGCCGAGGAGTTTGCCAAGGTCATCAGGACTTGTCTTTGAACCCAGTCCTGGGCTCCCCCTAGTCTCCCACAGTGCATTTCTGTGTTGCTCTATGGGTGTGGTTTGGTGGCTGTGTGGAGTGTTCTATCTGATAGCGTTCACTGCATTTCTCCGCCATCCAGACCCTGCCTTCTCGCAGAGTGCAGTGGACTCACCAATGCTCCAGGGAGAGGGAATGGCATGGTAGGAGCCCGGGTTCTACAGTTCGGTGTTCTGGGTCAATTACTAGCTCTGTACATGTTGTGTGACGTGGGCAAGCCACTGAGCCTGTCCAAGCCTCAGTTTCTTCAGATGTAAAATGGGGACCTTCCTCATAGGATAGTGGGGATTGAATAAATGAATGCCTACTACAGAGCAATTGGACCAAGCAGTCAGGTGCTTTGTATGTGGATTTGTAAACTATGGGTTTCCACTAGGTATTGAGTTGTGAAATCAGTGTTCTGAATCATAAATAGCATTAGAAAAATCAAATGGTATATAATAAAATAAAATAGAACAAATTAGATAGCATTGAATTTATGGTGTTCCTTTGGTTTTGTGTGTGTGTGTGTGTGTGTGTGTGTGTGTAGTGCGTGAGATGGCTCACAGTGTGAAATGTATTTCTCACTGCGGACTGTAGTTCAGAGTTTGAGAGTCTCAGCTCCAGGGAAGGGAGTGAGTGAGTCCATTTCTCTCAGCCCAGGCCTGTCACTGAATAAGGCACACTTTAGCATGAATGCACAAGGTGAGCTCTGGCTGAAACTGAATTGTGCTTCCTTTGCAGAGAGAGACCAAAGGGCAGTTTCTGATTGACCACATCTGCAACTACTACAGTCTGCTGGAGAAGGACTACTTTGGCATCCGTTATGTGGACCCAGAGAAGCAGCGGGTAAGAGCTGACCTCTAGCTGGACCCATTTGGGGGAGTCACTCAGGCTACGGGGTGCTGAAGAGGTTCCTCTCAGAACAATCAGGGTGCACTCTTGTTCTTGTGATTATTGATGGTTATTGACCACGTGAAACTGACCAGCCTGGGGTGTGTGTGTGTAAGTGTGTAAGAGTCTGGCATTGTTCCCACTGGACTGGCTGGGGCAAGAGAAGAGAACATTTACCAGAAGTTGCTCTCCCTTGGTGGGAGACAAAATGTTCCTGTGCCCTTTAAACCCAAAGTTTACCAAAGCTCTTCAAACAGTGGCTACATAAAGTCTAATTATTGAGAAAATCTACTCCTTACTATAAAAAGTTACTGGTACACAGGAGAACAGGGCAGTGCCTGTTTAATGGGTACAAGGTTTTCTTTTGGGGTAAAGAAAATGTTTGGAAGTTGATATAGGTGGTGATTTTACAACATCATGAATACACTAAATATCACTGAAAGTACACTTTAAAAATGTTAATTTTATGTTATGTGAATGCAACCTCAATTTTAAAAAGCTTTGGCAGATGAAGGGCTGAGAAACCTTGAGAGCTGCTCCTTGGGCACCACTAACTTTGGCTGCCCCCATTGCATTCCTGCTCTTTCTGATCTCTGTTGGTGTTTCCGAGTGAGCAGGGGAGTTGTGCCTTCTGGTTGGTGTACCAGCCTAACTGTGTCCAGGCATGGCATGTGTCAGAGTCACAGTGATGTGTCCCTCACATCCACAAGGCGCCAGGCATCTCCATCCCCGCTCCCACCACCTGGGGCTTCTCATTCCACAGCCCTGCTGTGGGTCCCAGGTCCGGGCTAGGTGTTCCTGTGTCCGCTTCTCCCCCTGGCCCCGCCACACAGGGCAATGTGTGCAAGGCTCAGCGGGTGGTCAGGGATGGGCGACCAGACCCCTCAGACTTCTTCAATTTTCTTTCTCACCAATGCCCTGGTCATCTTCCTGTCCCCTTTCCTCTCCATAGAACACCATCAGGTTCTTGATTTTCTGTTTACTGACCTAACACAACAAGGAGAAGCATTTTATTTATTTATTTATTTATTTATTTATTTATTTATTTATTTATTTATTTTGTAAAGGAGGAGGATGTTTGAGGAATAGATTAGGTTTTCTTCTGAAACATGGAGAATCTCACTAGTCTCTTGGAGTGTCCAGTAGGACCTAATCTTCTACAATGTGGGGAATACAATGTGGGGCTCAGAAGAAGGAGGTTTTCATTCTGTAGCACTGGCAGGAACCCTTTAATGGGCCAAACATTTACCTGAGTGACAGGAAGGTAGTAGGACCCTGAGGAGGATATAGAGCTAATGTGAGGTCACCGAGGGGATTTGTGTGGCATTTACTACTAATTAACAGTGGTTCCCAGACCTGGCCCTGCAGCAAAATCCCTTAGGTGTTTGCTAAATATGCTTAGTGTGGACCCTATTCTAGACCTCCCGAGTCAGAACCCTGGGTTTAGGCCAAGGCACATGTATTCTAATACATCCTGATTCTACTTCTGGCTCAACATCCCAGCGTTGGTCTTCTGCAGTGTTGGGACCGTGGCATAAAGATACCCATAGATATAACTTCTTATGGCCTATGAAGGTGTTACCCGTTATGGAGAGAGAAACAGGCTCAAAGACATTGTTACTTACCTACAATCTCACAGCTAGTAAGTGGCGAAGTGAGAATTTGAGTTTGGGATTATGGTTTAAACTCCAATCCCTGTATGCCAAAGTTCTGTGGACTATATTAATCATCTAACACCACTGAAAAGAGTTTTTGTTGTGTGTATGCAAACTTCCATTTTAAGTTCTAAACAGCCAACCTACAGAAGTAATTCTAACTACACTTAGTTGAACATCATGTACCAGGAAGTTCGCTCATGTGGTCTCTAGTCTTCCCTGAAACACTGCAAGGAAGGGGGCACTGAGGTGCAGAAAGGGCCGTGGCTGGCCCAGGGCCACATAGCTGGTAACTGTTGGCGGAAGGATGGGATTTGGACTCATATTCTTTCCATTTCATCTCCCACATGAAAACTTGAAACATAGTCTAGACAGGGATCTATAACCTTTTTCTGTAAAGGACCATATTGAAAATATTTTCAGCTTTGTGACCCACACAGCCTCTGTTATAATTTCTCAATTATTCTTTCGATTATGGAAAGCAGCCATAGATAATATCTAAAGTAATGGATGTGGCTGTGTTCTAAAAAAAAAAACAACTTTTCCAGTAAAAGTATTTTATAAAAAATAGGCAATTAGCCATAGTTGGCTGACCCAATGCCTAGACAATAGCTGGAAACCACTTAAACGCATTAACCGTCTTCATATTTCTTGACTCTCTCATTGGGGAGATATTGGCTAAAACATTAAGAGAAGTGTTTAGAATAGAAATCAGAGATATCACTATGAACTCATGATGTTTACAAAACACGCATCGATAGATATAGAAATAAATATAGGTGTGTGATGTGGGATAATACATATTTATATTTATATAAATATATAAATAGGTTCTGACCACCAAGATGGCCTAGAAATGCTGACATCACAGTAGCAGTGAGCACACCTAGCCCCTAGACCTTGGTTTCTAATACCATTCTCCAGCGAAAGGAACATGGCTCATTGCAGAAATGGCTGATGCTAGGGCTGGGACAGGGAAATCACAAGATGAATCTGAAGCATTTTGTAGTGCCTGAAGGTAAGGAAGTGCTCATAAAGCTAAAAGATAGGGTCCTGAAAGAATTTCCAGTGGCCCAAGCTAGAACAATAGGAGTGGCAAAAATAACTAACAATAGTATTAATTGTAATCCCTAGAATAAAATAAAGATCCATGAGTCCATATGGATATAAATAAGATAAATGAATAAATAAATAAAAGCGGGAGAAGTGGCAGCTCTTCCTAACAGAAGAATTACAATTAATAAATGTAGTCTCGCCTGGCCAGTGTGGCTCAGTGGATTGAGCGTCAGCCCATGGACTGAGAGGTCCTGGTCAGGGCACATGCCCGGATTTCAGGTTCCATCCCCAGAAGGGGGCATGCAGGAGGCAGCCAATTGATGTATCTCTTTCATATAGATGTTTCTATCTCTCTCTTTCTCTAAAAAGTCAATAAAAACATATTTAAAGAAAATAAATATAGAAGGAATGGGAGAAACAGGAAACACACTGGAATACCACAGTACTTGTTGTGGGCTAAAATTAGTGGGCAAAAGCTTGAGGAGAAACCTGTTTCAAAGCCTCAGATAATCACCCCCACCTTGATACTTTTTAATTACAAAGTGAAAAAGAATAACTGTACAGTGCAGAAACCTGGCAGGCATCACTTTAACCAAGTGATCAAGGTTAACACCCCCAATAAAAAGATGTGCCAACATCACGTACCCCTGATATCATGCATTGAGAAGGGCACAGTCTCTGGTGTTATTCCCAAGAATGCATAACCTCATTCAAATCCTGAGAAAACACCAGACAAACTCAAGGGAGAGACATTCTCCAAAGAAACTTACAAATACTTTTCAAAAGTGTTAAGGTCATGAAAGGCGAAGAAAACCTGGGAAACTCATAGTTTAATTTTTTTTCTTTATTGATTTTTAGAGAGAGAGGAAGGGAGAGGGAGAGAGAGATAGAAACATCAATGAGAGAGAACATCAATTGACTGCCTCCTGCATGCCCCCACTGGGGATCAGGCCCACAACCTGGGCATGTGCCCTGACTGGGAATTGAACCGGCGACCTCTTGGTACATGGGTCGATGCTCAACCACTGAGCCACAACCGGCGGGGTGAAACTCACTGTTTAGAACTATGCATATAAGACATGGGGTCTTGAGTTGGATTCTGGAGCAGAGAAAAGTGTCAGTAGTGGGAAGACTTGTGAACTCCCGTTTAGGTCTGCACTTTAGTTAATAGTCTCGTGGTGATATTAGTTTCTTAATTTTGATCACTGTATTACAGTTATATAAGATGCTACCATTAAGGGAAGATGGGTGAAGGTTATATTAGTTTTCTCTATGTCTGAAATCACTTTTTTAAGTTAAAAAAAGAGAAGTATTTAGGTTGATGTGCTTTATTGTTCTTTATAGTTTGACTTGGTTTAGCTTAATTTTTTTTTTATCCTCACCCGAGGATATTTTTCCATTTTTTTGTTCAGGTAGAGTGGGAGGGAGGGAGGAAGGGAGGGAGGAAGGAGGAGAGAGAGAGAGAGAGAGAGAGAGAGAGAGAGAGAGAGAGAGAAATATTGATGTGAAAGGGACACATTGAGTGGTTGCCACCCGCACAACCCAACCAGGGCCGGGGACAAACCGCAACCGAGGTACATGCCCTTAGCGGGAACCGAACCCAGGTCTCCTGGACAGCAGGCTGACGCTCTAACCACTGAGCTAAACCGGCCAGGGTGGTTTAGCTTAATTTTTAGTGTTCAGACTTGGGTAGTAGATTCGTGGGAAAAGTGTGGAACATGACCCTCAAACAAACTGTCTTATCTGATGTATCCATTCAGTTGCTTAGAGGGCTGTCTGAATAGTTCTGTCTTCCTCTTCATCGTACAATTATTATATAGACTTTTGATTTTGAAGCTACAGTGTGAACGTAGCTTCCACATGGGTTTCTGAGCAGTTGCTGCACGAAAGTGCATGGACTTTGTACTCTGAAAGATGCCTGGACTTCACACGCAGAAGGATGTGAATTAAATCACATCTCTGCTGGCTAATAAGCTGTGTGATGTTGATCAAATGACAGAGCCCCTCTGACTGTCCTGATAGTCAAAACAGATAGCAATATCTACATGTGGGATGCATATGGGAACTAGAGATAAAATATGCAAATGCTTAACAAACGTATACTGAGTACATGGTATGTGTTATTTTTATTATTAATTACGATTATTACTATGTATTGCCTAGGTCTAGGTGGAGCAATTGCATGAGAAAATAAGGCCATGATTAGCAAGTTAAGACCTAGAAATGCTAATAACTTTTTTTTAA